AGGGCCGGCCCATCCCCGAGTGGAAGCGCCAGGTGATGGTGCGCAAGCTGCAGCTGAAGATGCAGGAGGAGGAGGAGCAGCGGCGGAAGGTGGGTGGGGCTTTCAGCCTCCCGGACTCCCATTTCCTTTGGGGAAAGCAGGGTTGCAGGACCCTGTCTCCCTCCCCTACCCCCGGCAGCCTGTTCTTTCTTTATGCCTTCAAAGTGTCTGGGACCCCGTGCAAACGCCTGCTCTGAATCGGGAGGCTGGGTGGGCTGATCGTCTGCATTTCTAACACACTCCTGGGTGAGGCCCGTGGTAATGCTGGTCCAGGGACCACACTCTGAGTAGCCAGGAGGGCTTTGGTCTCAGACTGATCTGGGCCCTCTCCCTGCACTGCTGCTCTCCAGCTACTGATACTGAGCTTCATCCAGTCTCAGTTTCCTTTTCTGAAGGATGGGTTGATCATTACTAGCTGGCAGGATGATTTGCCGTTCATTCGTTCAACAGAGTTCCCTAAGCTCGATTTATGTGCCACACACACTGTTGTAGCCTCTGGGGATTCACGGTGAATTTCTTTGTTTTTTTAAATTTTATTTCTTTGAGTTGGAGTCTCACTCTCCACCTGCTGGGGTCCGGCGATCCTTCCACCTCAGCCTTCCAAGTAGCTGGAACTACAGGCGTGCGCTACCACACGCGGCTAATTGTTTGATTTATTGTAGAGATGAGGTCTCACCAAGTTGCCCAGGCGGGTCTTGAACCCGTGGGCTCAGGCAATTCATTCATCTCAGCCTCCCAAGGCGTGGGATTACAGGCTGAGCCATGGAGCCCGGCTACGGTGAATTTATTAAGGCTGCAGGAGATGGCTGCAGGCAGTGTGTGGGAATCAAAAGCAAATAAAGGCCTCCAAAGAGACAAAACCAAAGACAGCGAGCAACTGGGAGACAAGTAACACAGCTGTTACAGCACAGCCCGCTGTGACGGGGAGCACAGGGGGCAGGGGCAGCCCCAAACTGGCCACCTTATTTTTGGGCTGGGGGTGTCATTAGGGGAGGAGGAAGTGATGGCTGCGGTGCGACTTGGAAGGTGACCAAGAGCTGGATGGGAACAGTGGCCTGGAGAGCCAGCAGGCAGGACTGGGCGGTCTGAAAGTTGGAGTGGACACGGCTCTGTGACTGTCCTGGGGGGGTTGGGCTGGAGAGGTCATGGGCGTCAGGTTACCAAGGCCTGGCCACCTGCCTAGAAGAGAATGGACTTTCTCCTGGAGCAGTAGGGAGCCCGTGGTGGGGATAAGCTTCCTAGCTGCTTGTGGGGAATGGATCCTAGTGGGTCCAACTGAATTGGGAGACCCGTGTGGAGGGGAGGGCGGCCCCCAGGGCGGAGAAACCGGGCCCTAGAGAGAAGAAGAGAGGAGTAAATGCGAATGCACGTGCCTGGCAGTCCAGCAGGGTGAAGGGAGTGCGGAGTCCCAGCGGGGGCTGCCGCTTTAACATCTTAAAGAGCGGAGTCTCGCTCAGCACCTAAAACACGGACTAGGGGACCGGGAGGGCTTGGGCCACAGGGAGCTCGAGAAGTGGTCGGCAGCCTGGGGGGCGGAGGGCTCGCGCGGCAGGCTTTGGACGGGCTGGCGGAGGGCCGCCGTGCCTCTCCGCCTCAATGCCTTTCGCATGTTCCTTGGGTGGTGTAATGAGCGACCAAGCCAGGCGAGGAGACCCCATCTGCCGGCCAGTCCTGCCTGCCTCGGCAGCAGCGCTCAGCGACCAAAGTGGACACTGCCCAAGCCTGGAGCGGCGGTCCGGGCCGAAGCTTCACCCCCGCGCAATCCCCCGCCGGCCAGGCGCGGCCCGGCCCTGCAGACGCAGCCCGCGGAGCCATTGCACCACCCAGGACATGCAAAAGGTTCCCGGCGCCGCTGCGGGAGCTGGGCCAGAGGGAGACGCGCCTCCCTCCCCTCTCTTGTCTTCCCCGCCTTAGCTGACGTCCGGCAGCTCGTGCTGCTACCCCCGCGAGGGCTGGAGGTACTCCCGCGAGCACAACGGCATCCTCGGGCCCTTCGGCGAGCTCATGACCGAGGCCGACGTCCTCCGCATCGAGCAGCAAATCGAGAACCTGCAGGTGCTGCACAAGGCGCAGAAGCTGGAGGCGCGCCTGGAGCAGCTGGAGCGGGAGCTTGAGCAACTGCTGCCCATCTCTGCCGCCCTGTCGGCTCCGCGCTTCACCGTCGACCCGCGCCGAATGCACGGCCGCGCCCCCAGCCTGCCCGCCTGGTGCGGCAGGATCTCCGCGCTGCTCAAGAGCATGGCCACGCTGCTGGCCACGCTG